TGGCTCATACTTCAGTTGTACTTCTTTTGCAGGCGTTCAGTCGGTCTGATGTACATATGGTTCATGAGAAATTAGCAAATTTAAGGAAAAGATGGATGGATAATTTGATTCAACAAAGAGATGACCCGAGACAACCGCAACAACGAATACCAGATAGCGTTACGGTAAGTTACGAAAGGCTAGAATTTACAGGATATTCTTTGTTGAGCTACTTTTGTTAGCTTTTTGCTTTCACAATAAACTGGGGTTTGACTGAAGTCTTAGTATGAATTTAGATATGCTAATCACTTTCATTTTCACAGGTATTCCCTTTAGAAGTATGCTCTTTTGATTTTGCACAATACAAAATTAGTAATTTATCTGCTCATTGTCCATTCGAAATTTTAAAACGCTGAAGCTCAGGGAATGGAAGCATACTTCTGAACAATCTCGCAAATAATATGCTATAAGAAAAGTCCATCGGGATTTCAAGTGCGCTCTACTATATAGTGCCCTAATTGGGCTTAATAGTGCATGATCCTTACAGTCTACGCTAAATCTACCGCATCACTACATTGTAAGTACCGTATGGGGTGGGCGATTAGACCTGGAGTTCTTCGAGAGCAAATCCTCACTGCGAGAGCGTTTGATTGCTTTCTTTAATTTTGGCTGTGGCTACACATTGTAACAAAGTGCTTGATAGAAGGGACTTTAGGAAACGGCGCTGAAGGCCCACAATAAATGCGTTAAGTGTCTTGACTAAGAAATATGAAGTGATCGCTGTTTCTCAAACAAGGAGACTACTGAAAATAAACAGCAACAAGCACTTAAACTTTATATTAAATCCGTAAAATATTATCTTTCACCACAACAACTTTTTCCTCAACGAACTTTCCTCACAATCAAATAGTAATAGTAAAGTGACTGAATAAGTAATTGGATTATTTTTAAGCCATATTTTGCACGTAGTTTTTTTGCAGAGATCGAAGCATAAATCGTTACAATTAGTCATTAACATTTCCCATACGAATTTGGACGCAAGCTAAAAAAAATTTCTATAAATGCATGATATTTGTTCGCAGGGTTAGGTTTTCACTGTCAAATCCTAGAGAGAAACCGCATAAGAGTGAGTGTGGATTAGCACATTTGTAATTTCTCGTGAACTTCTTTTCATACAAGTAAGTGTGGCACTGAATTTAATAAAAATGAAGGAATACATAGTTGAATAAGTTAGCCATTCTCCGTAAGCTAATTATATGCCTAATCAAACCGGGAAAATTCTACAGCTGAAATTCGTCTTGCGTAATCTAAATTAAGTCCATTGTGGGCAGCCCGTTCTAGAAGGACTTTGACTACATTATCATGCTTTGATGCAGCTCAACTCTACAGCTTTTAGGCGCTTAAGAAAACAGTCTTTAAAAGGAATGCTCCAACAGTACTGCCAATACATGAAATCAACAGGGAAGCAAACTTGAGTGAATTCATGTATCAAGCGGATATGGTCCTCACATTGTAAGCATTTTATAATGGGATTTTTTTAATTGAAATTCACAAAATGTCAATTATAGGCCACAAGTTGAGTTAATCGGTGGAGGCAGTACCGCAGATGCTCGCAAAAAACGACAAGCATATCGTGACGTATTCTATCCAAACACCATTTGGGGCAATACCGTTTACTACTACTTCGATTCAACAGCAAGTATGTTTTCTTCATAGATCTCACCTCGTTGGAAAATATTCTAGAAACTTATTTCAGCTCCTGCCATTAGAACAGCTTTTCTGGCCGCCACACAATTTTGGCAGAAAAACACATGTATTACATTTCAGGAAAACATGTTTAGTAAGTAAACAGCAAATATTCAAATTTCCGCGAAGGCAATTATTCTTCGATCTTTAGGTCTCAATAGAATCCGAGTGTTCAAAGGACAAGGTTGTTATTCGTATGTAGGCAGAGTAGGTGGTCAGCAAGACCTGTCGTTAGGAACCGGTTGTGAAAGTGTAAGGATTACTGT